CATTGGCCAGCTCCGGGTCATCGCAGGGATCGTACCCAGTAGGTCGTCCACCAGTTGTTCCGGAGTTCTTCCCGCCACTGGGGAAGAACTCCGGCGTAGGTTTGTTGGGCTCTCCGCCACTGGGAGAGGCCTCGTAAGAAGGAGGGAGATCTCTTGGGGCAGGTATCATCTTCTGGAGTCCTAGTTTCCCCTTAAAAAACGTCTCTCTTAGTGATGCGCTGCAAACACGCGCGCGTTGTCCCAAATATGCCCGACGTCCTTTATGTCCCAAAAGACGTTCGCACTGGGACTAACTCAGACGAGAACCAGCACTAGCGATTCTCCCATTTCCGGACAATCCTCGGCGGTACCTTCTCTACGCGAGGTTCTGGTCTCACGGCCTTTGGGGAACGGGGGAATTATTTATCCCTCTCGGGACAGTTTAATATTACTGTGATGAGGATTTGTAAGAGTTTGAATCAACCAGTATCCCAATGGTGTGTTATGCTGAGTGGTTTCGGGCATCAGGAGACCCAGCTTGCGCCGGTGTCCAGTGGCGGTGGGCGAACCGTCTGTGAAATTGGTGATACAATTGCACAGGGTGTCGTTTACGAAATTGCCGGAGAAGTTGGTCACGGAATTGTTCAGCAATTGAATTACGAACTTCCCGGAGAAGGTCCATATTTTCATCAGGTTGTTGAAGAGGGTGCTGAACAGGATGTTGACCGGGGTGTTGAAGACGGTGGAGGAAGTATTGTGAACCTTCTGGAATCGTTTAAAGGGGAATTGAGGTTCGATAAATCAAGAGAGCGACAACCGGATTTTCGGTCTTGTCGGGAGTCTTGTTTTAAGTTCGCTGAGCTCATGTTCGCGAAGACGAATGCGTCGGAACTTGCGAAGTTGTTGGGGCTATACCAGAGCCTGTTGGCTGATAGTGGTGTGATTGTGCCTTCGGGGATAAGTAACCTGTGGTACTTAGCGTGTGTGTTTGACGCACACGGAAGCGAGGAGTCGATCGGAAGGTGGTTGGATTGTCTCGGCATCGACAGCACGGAGTTAAGTGGTGAACGGGTGTCTTATGACAGTGGACGGGATGGTGAAGAGCCGAAGGGTTTATTGTTCGACTTGCTCAACCCATTCGGATCCGAGTTGCGTTCGCTGCCGGCGACGCATCCCGTCGTTCTGAAGGGAATAATGGACTGGTTGCGGTGCACTTTGGGCAGAAAGAAACCGGCCCATAAAACGCGCCGGTCAAACCACCTGGCGTGGCGATGGGCGTGGTCATCAGACCGGATTTATGACTATTTGGGCAGTGACAGCTTGCACGAGTTGTTGGGAAAATGTGAGACGGTTATGGAGCGATCAGACGTCACTGATAAATGGTACTTTGGGCGGCTCATGCAGGAGTATTGCACCATTCCATCGTGCCGCCATTGGCTGGCTGCCTTGGGAATAGCCGTCGATGAGGCCTCCGCTAGCAGACTGCCACTGTACGAAGATAATACGGGACGCTACTACACCGGAGTGCCAGAGGTCACCGAGGCAGAGCGAAGGAACATATCGATCGTTTCTGCACTTATTCACATGGTACAGACAGAAATTCTCCCACCTTCTTCATTCCACACGCTTGACGAGTTCGGCGTCCGCTTGACCGTATCCATTTACAACACTTTGGGAAAGGACCTATTCGCCAGAATGGTCAAGGCCATACGGGAGATTCTCCCTAGCAAACCGCTGTCAGACCCGTGCTTACTTGGCTGCGTACTGAGCTCCCTTAACTCCCGACGCCGCTCCGAGCTGCGCTGCCACTGTGCCCGCACGGGACTCTGGTACCAAAACGAATGCTGGAAGAACCGGTTCTCGGTCGCTGAAGCTAGAGAACACTTCTTCCGCTATCTGCCAGCCACATCGGACTTCTTCAAACAGCAGTAACTTCTAGTAACGGAGTTCGTCTTTTCCGTAGCAACAATCACCAGCAACTACCATATCAACCACAGCGACGATTACAACGTTTACTGCCCGCACAGTTCCGTCATCGCTAGTCTCCGGAGCGCTGGTGGGCAGCGTCTGTCATTCGGCAGAGCTCTGGTGCACGGCCGGAACGGGCATTCTCCGGAAGTATATTTATTATCATGAAGCCGAATCAATGCGGGAAAGGGAGAGGGCTGTCACTGTTGATGCATATTCTTAGGCTGAGTGGTAACGGCAGTGATATGATACTGGATGCGTCTGGCACAGGAGTTGATCAGGCCCGAGCCGGGCCAAGCAAGTTCAGGAGGTCTCCGAACATTGACCAGCCGGACAGTGGACAGCAGGAGATTGGACATCAGGAGACTGGACAGCAGGAGATTGGACAGCAGGAGATTGGACAGCAGGAGATGGGACAGCTAGTTAATGACATCATGCATACTTGCTTCCTGCACTCGGAGATGGCACCGGTTGGCGCGGTGCCCGTTGGGGTGGTGCCCCGGGGCCCGTGGCCGCCAGCGGAAGTTTTAGTGAAGATTACGGGGCGGCTGCAGCAGATGTTACATCCCGAGAAACTAGGCTGGAAGAAAGCGGGAACATCGCGAGCAGGTGTGGAGTCCTCCTTTTGCGCGTGGCGGTGGGCCCGACTGGCGGGAGTGCTGTACGACGTACTGGACCGCACGGAAATGATGCGTTTGCTGGAGACGTCTCATGAACTAGTGGGTCGGCCCGAAGGAGCAACGAATCAATGGTTTTTGGCGAAGTTATTGCAGACCTATGTACGAATATCAGCTGCAGCAACTTGGATTAAAATGCTCCGGTTGCCCCCGGACGACGGTTTATACAGCTGTGCGAAACTGTACGAGGATACCGTAGCGAGCCGCTTCGAGAGGTTGCCCGTCAAGGACGCCTCTGAAATAGATCGAGTCTGCCTCGTTTCCCAAATCTTCCACCTCCTCCTTCGGGCACGGGGCGATCAAGATCCTGATTCCTACTGGAGCCTGCAGAAATACTGTAAAGAACGCTTCTACAAAACAAGTCAGCAAGCCGTCGAACTCTCCTCATTCATCTACAACCAAATCGGCAGCGACTGTTTTAAGCTGATGAGTGAAATCGCCAGACAGATCTTGGGTCCCCCAAACGCAGAAGGACCCCTCTCAGACCCCTGCATCATCGGGTGCTTTCTTAGCGCCATCCATTGCTCTATGCCTCGAACCATACAGCAACTCTGCAATCGTCTGAGGGTTCCTTACAGTAAAGCCTCAGGGAAAAATTATTTTGACGTTCATCACGAAGGCACCGACTTCTTCGGATACCTCCCCGCTCTTAAGTCCCAACTACCCATGACCGTTGAAAGAGTGCAGCTGGTAACGGTATTACCACAGCTGGTGGAATCACCTCTTCCGCTGGAACTGCCCCTTGTCCTGACCATACCTCCTGAACTGGAGATGCTTCTTGACTCGGAGCTACGTTGTGCGCTGCACATGCCACCTACACCGGAACCACAGACGGCTATGGAACCACAGACGGCTATGGAACCACAGACGGCTATGAAACTACAGACGGCTATGGAACTACAGGCGGTAATGGAACCGCAGATGGTAATGGAATTACAGGCGGTAATGGAATCCGAGACCGTGGTGGAATCCGAGACGGTGGAGGAGCCAGAGATGGTAGTGGAATCCGAGACGGTGGTGGAGCCAGAGATGGTAGTGCAACCAGAGACAATGCTATACTCACGAAACACAATGCCAGAACCGTGCGGGGTGGCCCTGCTAACAAATTCCCATCAAAAAATCCTTGACTCGGCTGTTCAATACGTAATAAGTTGGAACGATTTAGTCTTGCAAGGACTGCCAAGAAGCGGAGCTGTGGCAGACCCAGTTTCTGAGAAGCCTCTACACTTACGCAGACAGGCATCAACAAAAAATGACGAGAGCACACATGGTAAGAGGAGGAAGATGGGTTCAACGCCGATATGACCGCCTCTCGAGGCCACTATGACCGCCTCTCGAGGCCACTATGACCGCCTCTCGAGGCCACTATGAGCGGCATGAGCTTTGGACACTCTG